AGTGTATGCGGTCCAGTGCAGCGAGGACTGTCCAGACCTCTACATTGAGAAACTAAACAGCCTCTTCACAGACGCATGACTCAACACAGGAGAGCCAGCTCCTCTGGACAAGATTCAGCTGTTCACCTCCATCTCACAGATAAGGGACACTCTTTTGAGGACCAAAATGTGCACATTTTGGACCGAGAACACAGATGGTTTGAGAGGGGGGTGAAGGAAGCAATTTATGTAAAAAGAGAAAAACCATCTCTTAACAGAGGAGGAGGCCTCAGATTCCCACTTTCAAAAACATATAATGCAACTTTAAAACAGATTCCCAGCCGGTTTTCACACCTGATGGGAACAGAGGGGCCTCGACTGTGAATTAGAGGAACAAAGACCTACTGTTTTAGGTTTTAGGTGTCAACTGCCCATCTACATATATGTGTGTGTGTGTGTCTTATCTCACTCATTCTTATAACCTGTATCTCTCACTCTCTGCTCTTTGAATTGAGAAAGCTCCTCGGATGAGGAGCGAAACGTCTTCTGTTACAAATAAAGTCCAGTTGTTTTTGTATTGAACGCTTTTTGAATTCATCATGTCCTGGATGACTGAGAATCTTCACCAGCAAATTTTAAAGACTATTCTAGTACGCACAGGGAGCCAGTGTAATATGTTTAGACCTACGAGTTCCGGTTAAAAGCCGAGCAGCAGCATTCTGGACGAGCTGAAGGCGTGAGATGGAGGCCTGGCTGATCCCAGCATACAGTGCGTTGCAATAGTCCAATCGGGTCGTGACAAAGGCGTGGACTAGATTCTCAAGGTCGGGTCTGGACAACACTGGCTTGAGCTTAGCTACCTGTCTGAGATGGAAGAAGCTTTTCTGCAGAACAGAGTTGATTTGTTTGTCAAACTTGAAGTCAGAGTCTAAAACCATCCCAAGATTTTTACCAGACTGCTTCAGATATGGCTGAAGAGAGTCCAGGTTAACAGGATCAGTGGAGGCAGTTGAGCTAGGGCTAAAAACAATGACTTCAGTCTTTTCATCGTTAAAACTTAAGAAATTTGAAGCCATCCAGGCCTTAATGTCGTCCAGACATTTTAACAGAGTGTGAATGGAGCAAACACTGGCTGGTTTCACAGGCAGGTAGATCTGGCAGTCATCAGCATAGCAATGGAATGAAAGACCATGTTTCCTCAGGATGGACCCCAGTGGGAGCAAATAAAGTGAGCTCAGAAGGGGTCCAAGAATCGAACCCTGTGGGACCCCGCAAGAAAGAGGTAATGAGGCGGATACATTATTACCAACCTTGACACAGAAACTCCTGCCACTCAGGTATGAGCGGAACCATTCTAATGCAGCACCTGTGATCCCAACCCACTGATCCAGCCGTGATATGAGGATACTGTGGTCAACAGTATCAAAAGCAGCAGTAAGGTCCAGGAG